ATTAACTCCCTCCTCACTTTCATTCCGCTAAACAATGCCCATGCATAAGCCAGGACTTAAGCACCCCACTGAGAGTACGAGCATCTGTGAGAAGACCGCTCAGCTCCATCGCCTTCAACTCGGTCTTGCTCCGGCTGCCACGTGTTCGCTTGACCAGCTCGAGGTGAACCCCCGCCGCCCCCCCCTTTTCTCGCAGCTTTTGGCTACAAAAACTTTCCAAGTCCAAATTGAATGCAAGTCAACATAAAAATTTCGAAAGCAAAAAGCAAAAACAAAAAGCACAATTGTTTGCTACAAAAAGCAAACAAATAAATTGAGTTACAATTTGAGGAATGAACAAATAGACGGAGGCGAAGAAAGAAAAACTGAAATGTCGAATTATTAAAAGAAAATGAGCAGAGGTCACACACATACTCACGTCTGCATATGCACATTTGTATGTAAGCAAACAAGCAAATTTTTAGCAACTTGAACAACTAAATCAAAAATCCATTCACACACACACAGACACACACACACACACACAAATGCAAACCCATCCAATGTGAACTCGCCGACCCAATGCTGTTGGTCGGTCGCTTGGAGGTCCAGTCTGAATCCAAATTCAATTCGAAATCATACAAAAACTAAGTCAACAATAAGCCAAAAAAATTTAAAAAAAAAAAGTTAAAACAAAAACAAAAAGTTGCAAAATGAGTGAATTTTGAAAAGGACTGTGGCATGATGAAGGAGCGAGGGAGGAGGGGGAGCGTTTGCAAATATTTGCGTTACAAAAAGTGAACGAGAACAAGAACGTTAAAAGGCAAACAATGGAAATGACAACAACAACAACAATAACGACAGCGAAGTTAGCCAAAAACAATATTTGCTCGATTCAAAGGCCAACTGCCAGCAAAAAACTGAATATATGAGCATATTTGTAAATACATACATACACACACACATACATACATACACACATACATACAAATGTATGTATGCTTAAATATAGCACAAATATGCTCGAACTAACGGAAAATGATGACAATGATTATGTGTACCTTTTGAACATTCGACAAATACGCGATCTTGGCACTGGACTCAACTTTTCGACTACCCTCGCACACACACACACGCGCGCTCATTCACAGGCACGCAAACACAAGGTTCAACACAGCCAGCGTCAAGTGTAGATTCATATTTGTAAACATAAGTGAAAATTCCCACAGCATCTGCAAGCATTCCGCTTGAAAGCTCGCTCCTCATTCGCTTATATCCGGGCGAAAGTCCACCTCGCACACGCCAAGCTGAAAAATAAGCGGCCATGAGCTTCAACCCTCGCTCAATACCCACCCAGGGGGAGGTGGAGTAGTTAATTTTACAAGTTTTAAAATCCCAAACAGCCCAAAAGTTGATTGATAAGGGTGGCTGGCCGAGACTGTGTGGTAAGACCGAGTACCGCGCTTTGAGGGCGGTGCGGTGAGAGCTTGAAGCTGCCATGACGAATCTCGAAACAGTGGCGAATGAAAAGTTCGGATTTACATATTTGAATTTTAAATGGTTTACACATTTGAGCACTAGGGTGGTCAGAAAAAAGCGAGTCGGTTAACTCAGTGGCGAATGAAAGGATGTTTAAAGGATTACGGATAACGAATAACGTAATTGGTTTAGTAATGAGCGAACCTCGATGTCGGCAAGATACAGTAGGGTGGACTTGTTAGGCTTGATAAGCGCCTTATAAGCTTCCTCCGTGGAGAGATATGTTTTTCAACGATCAGCTCAGCCCGAGAACAAGTGTGGGAGACTCTTAGCATCCATCTTTAGTGAAGTTAACTCTGCAGCTCGTATTACCTTCATCACATTCTAACGTACAGAAGCAATTTGAAAAAAGGAAGAAAGAACTTCTCTATACGCCTCAAGCTAAGACTTCACATAGATTGTTGACTTCATTTTGTGCAATGGATGCTAGCCTGGAGTAAGAATGGAGCCTAACAAATACTGCTACTCTTGTGAAGAGCCACCCTGAGCCAGGAGCGCACTCCTAGTTCCTTGGGCTGTCATATTTAATTTCAATTTAGATTCGGAGAGTTAATTACTAATTGTGAGGCCTCCAATATCGAAGCAGATTCAATCAATTAATGCAAATGTGACTGAAATAAAAATCTCGTACACCTCTTTCAAATATCTCGCATTTACATACGCCACCCTAATGTTGCGTGCTGTATGCTTCTTCTCTCCCTTGTTCGGCTCGAAATTTGCATGCTGTGATTTTCCGTAATGGCGCCCAGTGGAACTTGACGCTGGTAAAATGGCAGACCATATGGTATACCTTTGTGTGAGTGTGTGTGTAACCAAGCGTGCGCCTGTGTGCGTGAGCATGGCTCTAAGCTTCACAAGACAGTGGCGGCATTTTTTATCTATTATGTGTAAAGAAGCTCGTATTACTCCTACCAAGGAGGAGTTGAGTGCCAAGTTTGTTTGCATTTTCCTTTCATTTTGATCGGCTTCTTGAAGATTTCAAAGACGGTTCAAAGTATTTACACAATTAATTAACTTCACACATCGCTTCTACTCATATTTAGGTTCATACACACGTTCATATACGTGTATGTATGAGTGCAAGCCATGTGTACCCACATCGCAATCACGCCAATCACATTTTCAAAGAATGTCAACAAACAATAAAGTTTCGCCATTGAAATCGAAAACGCCTCCCTCCCCCCCAAACCCAAAGCCGTTTCAAGAGGCCTAATCATTTAACGCACATCATAAAAATCACATCAAGTGAGTTTTATTTACCCAAAGGGTTAGAAAAGGGCGCAGCGCACACACGCACATACATACACGTAGGTAACAATACATTCTTGAAAAAGTCGAGATAAGAAATCAGCCAAAGTGCGGGTCACAATCTTCATTAAAGGGAAGGCATATACAAATGTATGTATGTATGTATGTATGTATGTATGTATGTCCATCTGTATGCGCAAACAAGCGAATTTACTACTCATAGAACTTACATACACACTGGCATACATGCGTGTGTGCTCTCTGAAAAAGAAGAACTGGCCGCCCGGCAACTCCTAAAATCACCATTTTCGATGCGTTACTAGCAGTCGTGGTCCCAAGCTGGACCTGGAATAAGCAGGTGTCTGTAAAGCTGGTCCTAAACTGAAGGGACCACTCACTTTGACATTTTGATATTAAGGATTCAGCGTAGTTTTATTGCAGCGTTTATTTGCCAGAATTAAGCGAGCGCCAGTCTTGTAGCCAGCAGACGCCATATTAAATTAAGAACAGCACACACAAACTTGATTACGCTTGCCATTAACGTTAGAGCATAACCCAAGGATATGCACCATCAACATACGGCCCCTTAGACGTGATGATAGAACATTTTTTGATTTCGGTACTGCCGTGCCCCTCTGTTGTAGTGCCAGGTGGTGGTTCAATCTTTGATAAGCTTAAGAGGGCATAGTTATTCCATTTTGACACGTTCTCTAGTCCTCCGAACTGCCACATGCCTAAGGCGAGTTCTAGATAAGGTCAAACAGAAACGTAGTACTTATTTCCTGGCGTAGACACCGCTTACGCGATTGTAGACCAGGTAACAACAGTGCACTATTCATTTCTTCATTCCGCTGTTTGGCGCCAATGGGAAATACCAAGTACATCCAGAGCCTTCTCTGCCTGGTCTTTCAGCGAGGTGGAGGTCTTCCTCTCCCTCTGGCATCGAAAACTTTCAAAGATGTAGTACTGTTATTCATCCGGACCAGATGACCTAGCCAGCATAGCCGCTGTTTCTTAATTCGCGGAACTATCGTTCCATCGACTCCGGCATTCGTCGTTCCCCACCCGCAAACCTTTGTTTCGAGTACTCCTAACCCCGACTCATGCTTCAGCACCATACAGCACCACTGGCCTAAATTAGTCACTGCTACTCGCATGTGAAGAAAGTTCTTTGTGGCCTGCCATTGGTCCTTTCGAAACCGTATTAGCAAGAAGTTAATATGCAGTTTTGCATGCTGCTAAGCCTCTAACCCTGGTTTGTCTTCTAGCTCTACCGTACTACTGGCTCTATTGCCGCTTCTAAGAACATTTTGTGATAAAAGATGGTTGCATTAATTGCCTCTTAACTTTCAGGTTCCATACTGATGTTTTCCATGTGGCTTCCTGCGGTTGGCTGAATTAAACCACATTTTGCATGCTGCACGCTGCGACAACTCACTTTCTTGTGGTGGAGTTGGCGCAGGCATAACTCGCAATAATTTGCCATTGAAAATGAAGAATTCTTAATGCAATTCTCCTTTTTTATGAATAGTTATTGTAATAAAGTTTTGGTATATTCTTTGGGTTTTTTCTTTAAATCTTCTTGAAATCCTTCGATCGCAGGTGATCAAAACTACAAAAATTATAACAACAATCTGTTTGAAGGAAATGGTTGGCCCGAGTTCGAGACCACCACTTCAGATTTTTTTGATTTTTTTTAATAATTTTTTTATTTATTTAAAACTTTTTTCAATAATCCTACCTAATTTGATTGAATAACAATGTTAGGTGTTATGTCACACACACACACATAAAATAACATGTATAAAAGCTAAATACGGCAAATTGTATGTATGTATGTATGCGAGTGTGTGCGCTAAGCTAAGATTTGACCCAACGTCGTTCTACGTTCTACGTTTTTCTACAAAATAAGTTAGTTACAAAGTGAACTCGTTGGCGTAAACACAGAATGCAAAATTTTTTAAATAAAAAAAAATTAATTACTTTTTATAGATGGGGGAGGATTTATTATTTATTTTCGTATATTTATTTCCCTTGCCTTAACCTTAGTTTAATTTATTTTAATTTAATTTATTTTATTTATTTACTTGCTAAAGCAAGCATACTAGTTTTCCTGGGCCACCACCTTTTCTTGGCACCATCTAGTGTTACACAGTGCAAGCAAATTTGTAGCACCATTCACCCTCTAATATCATTGTGAATGAATATTTCGAGTGACACATCAGAGAAAAAAAAAAACAAAAGTGAAAAGTTCTCTTATTGTTGGATGCAAGATAAAAGAATTGTTGATGTGTTTTGCCATATGACGGTTTTGTTAAATTACGTGGCGTTTGAAATCATTGTTTGATTTTATATTACTAAGTGATAAAAATTTGTTTTGAAAACAACGTTAATAAGTAATCCTTACCTTCATGTCGGTGGTTCAGATAGCGCAGATGATCGTTATCACCGGCTTGTCCGTGTTGTCTGGATTCTTAGTGGTGGTGAGTTGTCGCTTCGCATAATATCTATAAAGTCTTAAATAACTATATTTTTTATCTAATTCCTTCAGATCATTGTCATACAAAAAGCTATAACGAAACCATTTCCAGCAATCAGAAGGCGCAAAGAGGAGAAACATTTTCTCGATCCAATAGCAATACATAATGTGGACTTTCCTTCGGTAGAAGAAGCGCCAAGTGTAGATTTGAGTGTTATTATACCAGCATATAATGAAGAGCAGCGATGTGTGTAAAATGCTAAAAGAGGAGTATAAAATTAAGTAAAAATTATTGCTTTGAATTTTTCAGTGCCGAAAATGTTGGAAGAATGTTTGCTCTTCTTAGAAGAAAAGGCAAAAGATGAAACGTTTACATATGAAATAATACTTGTTAGTGATGGTAGTAGTGATGGTACAGTATCTCTTGGATTGAAATACTCAAAACGTTACACCGTCAATAAGTTTCGTGTGCTAGAACTTCTTGACAACAGGGGCAAAGGCGGCGCTGTTCGTTTGGTATGAAAAGAAAAAATATTTATTCAATCTTTTATTATACGAGACAAATTGAATGAGTTATTTTTCACTTTGTAGGGCATGCTGAGCGCAAGAGGACGATATCTACTATTCGCTGATGCAGATGGTGCTACACGATTTAGCGATTATGATAAATTGGAACAGAGTATTAAAAGTATTACAAAAGATTGGCAGGAAGACGGTATTGTGGTCGGTTCACGCGCTCACTTAGAGCAGGAAGCTATAGCCTCACGAAGTCTTTTTAGGTATGTTCAGTATGAATTTTCACAAGTTCGTTTTAATAACTTTTATAAATGTTCATGCAGGACATTCCTTATGCACGGTTTTCACTTTCTTGTTTGGCTGTTCGCAGTGCGTAGTATTCGGGACACCCAGTGCGGCTTTAAACTACTAACACGCTCTGCAGCTCATACGCTATTCAAAAATTTGCACGTAGAACGATGGGCTTTCGATGTTGAATTGCTTTATATAGCGGAACGTTTGAAAATGCCAATAGCTGAAGTTGCTGTTAATTGGAAAGAGATTGAGGGCTCCAAACTGACGCCCGTCTGGTCTTGGGTACAGATGGGAACTGACCTATTTCTGATCTGGCTTCGGTATGCGATTGGAGCATGGCAATTGTATGAGCATAAAAAGGAACACGATTCTTAAAAGCAAAGCATTTAATTTTTATAAGACTTGCGCACACGTACGTTCCAATGTTCCCGCATTATTTTCAACATATGCACTTAAAAGTATAAGCTACTATATTTAAGTATTTAAAATGAAACTATAACTTTTGTAACATCTAATACAATTTGTTAGTTAAAGATTTAAAATTTGTTAAATTTTAAATAAATAATATCACATGAATAATTTCGAGGGGTTTTTATTGAAAACTATCGCCACTGTGTGCACCCTGCTATAAGCTATTTGAAAGTCTGGCAATGTTACTCAATTCAACCGGTAAAAATAGAAGAGGTAGAGAGTACTGGAAAAGTTTCAACAGTGCTGGAACTTTTGAAAGGCCCATACATATTTGACATAATTGCAAAACCATCCAGAAAAACTGCTTTCCTTATAAATTTTGCGTTTTACGTTATTGAGAAGTCGTCATTTTTGACGAAAAGTAACAATGGAAAAACAGTAATATACACAAGTCGATTCCCTATTGCAATGGAAATATACATAAATGCGACGTTCTCCTTTCTTTCTTAGAAACTCATATTTCGAAGAAAATTGTAATATTTTTGATGATATTCATTTATTTATTGCTAAAATTTGTAAAGTTTTTATGAATTTCCGGAGTTTCTAAGCTGAAAATAGAATTAATCGAAAGGATTTTAAAGCTTAACATTACAAAACACGCAGCACTTCATTTTCAATTACTGTAAAGTCCAACACTGAGTGTGAACAAAACTCGGAAAAGACAAAGCGAAATAATCTCTTAGCGCAGTCGTAAAGAAGAAGAGTGAATGAAGCGGGGCTTAAATGTTGCTCGCGGTATGGCAGCAATTGGTTTCCGCGAATTTAGCTGAGAAAAAAACAAAAAAAGTAAGAAATTTGAGGCTAAATTTTAATACAAACGTAAAGATAAAAAGTGATTTAAATGATAAAGCAGGGAGTTTGTCAAATTTCTATAACCCAAAAATTTTAAATCACTCTTTATATGAAGAGTGTTATGAGTAATAAAATGTGAAATGAAAGCACAAACACATTGGTATAAACATAAGTATGTATGCCAAAAAGGAGATATGATGAGTGCCTCGAAAGGGATGGGAGATGAATAAGACTGAAATTCCTAGAATTTGAGACCTAGCAAGTTTATTTGGATCATTTGTTTGCGATTTCATGTTGAAAGTAATTTCATTGTTGGATTGGTGTGTCTATAATTGTGGAAAAGTAATTAAAGGACCTACTTTATAAAAGATAAACATATACAATTATATTAAAAATTAAAATTAATGCCAGTCTCAATAGAAATTTGTGTAAAGTTCAACACAAGTAGAACTAAGACCTAAATTAAAAATGTGTCCCGAATTTTGGAACCACACAAAATTACAACTTGTTGATTATTGGATATGCAGCCATGTTTGCATATATGTATGTACGTACTAATGTGTAATATATATTAGGGTGGACTTAATATATATGCGGAATTCAAATTTAAAATGGTCTTTCATAGTTGCATGTAAATCTATTTGTTTGAAGTCAAAGTGCATTTTTTGAAATGTCAAAACGTCTCTTGTATACTGGTGTAATTTTATAAAAGACATTTTTTTAATAAGAGGAGATCAAATCTCCAATTATGAAGGAAGTATATATGTACATTTATACATATGCCCAGAAACATAATATTTTAAAATATAAAATTAATATCTTCACCATAAAATAAATATCAAATCTGAGGTCAATTCAAAAATTTGATTCAATTTAATTCGCTAATCAAATATTAAAAACATTTTGAACGCCGTAACTTTGTAGCATCGTATATATTTTTATTCTCTACCCTAATGTTATTACGCTTTAAAGCTGTGGGTTATAGTATAAATTTTAAAGGCATATTCTATTGTATGACCTGACATCCCAGAAGCTATAATATAACTGCTTAAGGCGATAAGTATTTATAGTTTATAGGAAATATTACTTGGGGAACTCAAAAGAACGACATATTAGTTCAACTGGATGTTCGGTGGTATATTTTCGGCTCGTGAACTCGTCTAACTTCGGCCAGATTCTTTTGTAGTCCCATGAATTTGTTTATTTAGTTTTCAGATATAACGCTCATGGGGCGATTTCATTTATCTATATTCTCTGCACTTAATTATTTTTGTAGAAACAATACGGTATTATACAACATCGTACGGTCCTAAAGGGCTCGCTAAAGGCCCCTATCAATACTAACACTCAAAAATAAAAATTACATTATTTTACTATATTAAATAAATATTTTTCTTACAGATCCGTTGCCAACTAAAAAAATGTAACATAAAAATATATCAAAGAAAAAAAGTGGTGCTCTATTCAACCTAAAATTTTATCCTTTATTGGCCGTCCTTGTGATCATAGCAACTAAAGCAATCATGAATCGATCAGCACATGGGAGCATACGTTCCTCCACCTCTACTGTTTGCAGCAGTAAATCTTTTCACAGCAAAATGGATAAGGTATCGGAGAGACTGTATGATATTGTAAAAAGCGGTTCAATGGTGAAGCGAGCGCAGAACAAAAAACGCTTTACACCTGTCAACTATAAACAACGCTGGTTCGAACTCACTAAAAAGTCATTATCCTATTTCGACTTGGAGAATGTTGAAGTAAGTAATATCATAGTTTTGATGAAATTTGTTCAGATTTCATCGAGAATAGTATTTTGAAACCTACACATAAGTACATACGTAAATGGAGTTATTCTCTGTTTGCTGTGCAATTCAGGCGTCGAGTGATGGAACACATATCGTTTATTACAAAAGCCGATACTGTAAATATTACATTTTATTTAAAACAATACAATCAAAAACCCGTTTTTGGAATACAAGTTATCAGTACGTTCAAATTTCAAACAGATTTATATCTAATTTATCCATTCGTTTGTACAAATTCCATTGCTTTTATCAGCCAAAATAAATACCGGCTGTGCTAAACATACATATATGTATTTGCATTGCACTTCAGTGATGCAACATGTTGGAAATTACCGGTATGCTTATAATCAACCCTTATCTGCAAAGAAATTACATATAGCGACACATACATATTATAGTCTACATAGAAATGAAGCTTTCCAGTCTACACTGTTGTCCCTATGTATAAGGACTATTTATTATGAATAAATTATTTTGCGTGATATTTAAATAGTAGAAAAAATATATGTACATCCATATGTATTTATATTGTAAATTCACGTGCATACATTCATATGTACATATGTCCACCTAGCTAGAATTATAGCTCTGCTATTTCGCATTTATACATTTTCCTCTCCAACTAGACATCTGGTAATTATTCTATTAGCGTTATTATTCTACTATTCGCAGTAGGTTTTCCCGTGTAAGTTAAAAATCTCTACAAAGAAAAAACCATCCCTTTTCTTGCATAGAAGTGTAGCTTTCTTCATAATACCTGTGCATTCCAATTGGTGTGCACACACATACAAACAAACTTTCAACCAAAACCCACCCGAGTCCTGGCAAGTGAACAGGACTAAGCTTCCGTGTTACGCTGACCATTTAGTATATCGAGTTTGTTCCCTGTGATTGAAACGTACACACCAAAGGACAAGCGCTGTCTGCGTACCATACATGTTAAAAATTTTCACAATATAAATAGAAACATGAAAATTCAATAAATTGCTAATAAAATTGCATAAAAAATTTCTTTGTTGAAAAATATGCAAAAAAAATAAAGGTTAAAAGTAGAAATTTAAACCTTTCATATCGTAAATGCGGTGTTTATTTTTATATTGCTAATTAATGCCAGTAAATGTTATAAAATAAAAATTTAAATTGAATAAAAAAAAATTTTTTAATGCAAAGAGTTTGCAGAATGCATACATAAATATGAAAGTTTGCGTCGAAAATATTTATCTAGTCAGTGTTTTGAATACATACATGCATAGTGAAAAACACGCCCAAATACGCACATGAAGTTTGTGAAAAACATTCAATATATAAAATATTGACATCAACAAAAGATTGGCAAAATTGAATAAAAATGGTTACTAATTCAATGCAATAAAACACGAAATGGAATTTAGCTAGGTTCAAACACGGATGTTTTGAATCGAAAAGACAAAATATTATCTACCAAAAGCCCCACCCAAGGAGAGTTATGTATAAGGGATGCTCTACAATTGTATACGAGACCGGCTGCTGAGCGAATTTATGTAAGCATTGAAAACAATCATAATAAACATATGCACATACATACGCGTGCATTGGTTACAGAGTTTGTGCAAAATATTACATATCTTATAACTAAGAATGTTTAAAAATTAGTTAAAATCAGTCTTCTGAAGGACTTAAAAGCAGAATGGCTTTATTTATTTTCATTTCCTCCCCTTTAAATAACACTTTCTAACTGGAAAAACTTATTCTTGGAAAAAAGTTGTAGTATCTGAGCATTCGTTTACCACATAATCTCTATTAGGGTGTCTATTCGGCTTCAAAAGCAGTGTACGAAGTGACAATTAGTGTGAAATGTTAGATGGGGGTTCAGTGAACTCATAATAAATAGTGTATGTATGTGCAGCACTTTTCACGGGTCAATACAGTTTTCCACTAAATTTATGTGTGATTTCCATTCATAGATAATTAAATTAAACTATTTTTAATTTGTATTTTTTTTTTTATCAATATTATTAATCTCTTTGCAGCGTCGTCGGGAGCGTGGTAGAGTTCCTGTTAAGGGGGTCCGTTTAGTGGAAACCGCTACTGTTAGTGGAGAGGGTGGCGATCCTTTTGCACCGAGTGTGAGTATTTAACGATTTTGTGTCAGTGAAACGATTTTTCTCCGTTGTTATTAATATAATTTTTTTTGTTACTAATAATAATTTTCGCTATTAGGGCTTCCCATTTCAAGTTGGCTATTGTGAGTCCAACGATCAACAGCAGTCTGGACGTTCTGTGCCGCAATATATTCTATATTTACTAGCGAGCAGCGAAACGGAGCGTGATGATTGGATACGTGCCATAAGACAAGGTTAGTCCTTTACCAAGATTACTTTAAAGGTATTAAGAGTTTAATATACCAGTAACACATGTATATATTTTTACAGTTTGTGAAGAAGCAAACACACCGAAGTCATATCGTTATCATCCGGGTCTCTGGACGGGTAAACGTTGGTCCTGTTGTAAGGGCATAAGTCGAGCAACATTCGGCTGTCAAGCTGCAACACACTGGCAGGAGGCAAATAATAATCCAAGTGAGTAGGTGATTGCTAGAGCTAGTTATTCTTATTACGAAAACCAGTGTACCTGTTCAAAAGGTTTTCTAGTATCTATATATGTGCTTTGAAGACTGTTCATATGTAAAGATTGTTAGTGAAATTATATCATTGTCATTTAATAACTTAATAACTTTGAACTTTTTTAAAAACTCGTTTAGTTCCTAATCCTCAGTTAATATTGAAATCAACATAAAATGTCAACGAAAAGAAATATAAAAGGATTTGAGGCTAATTAAAAAAATAAATTTCGAAAGATCAGTCGTTCGTTTGGCCAGTTTTATATAATATCTGCTTGTTAAGTTTTGAACAAAAAAAGACTTCAATAACCATATGTACATATGTGTGTGTATAGGAAACTACATAAGTTTTGTGTTATTAAATTTGTCTTTCAATTTGAAATTCTAAAAATCAAACCGCTTATTATTTAGGAGTTTGGAAAAACTCATTTATAAATGCATTTTAGATTATTAAAAAAACTTTACGAAATATTTGGGACAGGAAGCTACAATTTGTTTGAGTGAATTCACGTTTGTACGAGTAATTGAACTTCAAGTCGAGTGGAAAAGAAATTAAACACTATCAATGTTATTGCACATTTGTACATACATAGCCAACTGAGCATTTCTGAAATTCAATATTTAAAGATATGAAGACATGAAAGTCACTCAAATTACAGAAACCGGTTACAATTCAACCAAACGAAGAAAAAAGAATTAGAAACTTCAAAAACAAAAATCTTTCGGAGAAAATCTTAGCCAAGGCGAAAGAAGTGATAATTGAGTGGAATAACAAAACACCAAAATATTATTTGTTTCTCAATTCTAGAGCCTAACGAGAGAACGGCTGACTGGCTTGCTGCCTGGCGGGCTGTAGGGCAAAAGCCAAACGGGTTTTGGTGGCTTCTTTTATTGTTCATAAGTCATTCTATTTTTTTTCTTCTTTTGTTATTGATGTGTCTTGTACACTATACCAATAGACGAATTGTATACAACCATATTACTTGAGCCATTAGCATAGACACGTGCAATGAACTTGATAATTTTTAGTCGGCGAGCATTTGTTGATTGTTTTCTGCTCATTTATCAACGATGTTTTGTTATTTCCTAGTAAAGAAATAGTAAATAGTAATGTCTGTTTGCTTACACCTAAACAAATATGAAAGTGCATAAATCTCTTGCAAGTCTTCATATGTCCATACATACACGTACATATGTACTTACGAGTTTGTCTAGTCAGCATAACAACGCGAGGTGAATGGTAGTTATGTGGAAAGAACTGATATCCTTAGATGCTTCAGATATTGCTTACAATATACTATATTCCTCACAACGTATGTGGTCACTCAACTAAAAGAAGCCCTCTCTGTCTTTTGCAAAAAAAAAAAAAACTTACCATTAGCCTCCATATTTCGAGTTCAGTTCAGTTAACTCTACTCATGACTCACCCTATATCTGTGGAAATGTCTATAACACAAGCTAAGCTGCATACTCATGTAATTTCTTAAAATATCTCTGGAAAAGTTTGTCTTGCCTAGAGTCCATGATCGATTAGCTTTGGAGCACTTGGTTATAAATTTGTTTGCGTATGGTGTGCGTTCCTGCTACATACGTGTGTATGTACATACATATGTGCATACTCGTATGTGTTGTGCGTCTACTATTTTCACATCTGTGAAACATATTGTACGCTTTGTGATTAATGATTGGTTATTTGGTGATTCTAAACGTGGGAAATCGCTGAGGCAAAGTAACAAAGCTAAAGACATTTCTCTTGTCGCTGACCACGCACTTTTCGTTGTAACATACAAATTCACTTAAAAACGATGGTTGCTTTTTGATTACTTTTCGGAATGAAATTTTCTAACAATCTCCTATTTTATATATTTTAGTTTATTGAACTTTTCCATTTATAAAAGTGTAAATTAGAAATTAATGCCGATGTGTGTATGCAGGTAGGTATGAGCATATGTAAAATAGATGGATATAGACTTTTGCATTTCAAACTACGAAAGTTTTCGGCAGAGAAGTTGTTTTTAAAATTTTTTTCCAAATTATCTAATTATCTGCGTACTTATTTCGTTAAGTTTTTAGCTATATTTTGATTTCCATAATTTCCCACAAAATATTTTTTGTTTTTTTGGAGACATCAACTTGCATCAAAAGACTGCAACATTATTATGTACAAAAGTATGAGCTAACAGTAAACTCAAATAATAAATCTATGAGAAAGAATTTATTTTAAGCGACTAACAGTGAAATAATTTCTTGATCTTGAATATGGGGCTCTTATAATATATTTTATTATTATTATTTTTCTATTTGTGCATAAACATATATAAATAAACATATATATGCACATACATATATGTATCTAGTAAAATTGTAAATCTTCCATCGGAAAAATCTAAATTGCTTCAAATACAATTCGTGCAACACCATCACTTTGGTGCCTCTAAAATCATGTGCTATTTAAAGTTCCTACAAATGTGTAATGTGCAATGTGCGCATACATACATATGTACATATGTAGATGCATAAGTGTAAGCGATCGTATCAAAGTGGATATGCATGCCTACATATGTATATATGTATGTATATATGCACATGTGCATTGCACATATGTGAAGTCAAACTTTTAGTAAAGATTCCCCCTTTTGAGAGTTCTTCGAAATTCTCTGCCCAACCCAATTTATGTTTCGTACTCCCTTCTCCCAAAAAAAAGGAGAAAAAAACCAGCTAACAAAAAAGTCTTGGTGCTGGCTACCCAACTAGTTGAGCAAGTTGGTTTTGAGCAGAAGTCTACTTTGAGAGGAAAACAGCAGCAGAAGGCACTATCACTCACCGGACCGTACCACTTCGGTTCAGTTTGCGGCGAGACTCAAGCGAACGTGATCGTGTTGTGAGACACCTCTTCGTCGCCTGAAGTGTGTGTGGCTCCGGTGAATTCGTTGTTTTGTGCTAATAAAGTAGAAATTAACATACACATGCTTACTTACATTTAGCCATTTAGTAGTATCTGAGTTTGTATGTATGCAAAATATGTGAAATAAGCTTGAAACGTGTTTAAAATTTATGATTATTTATTTTTCCGTTCTGTTGCGCCGTTGTTTCGTCGGGAAAATTTAAATGTGAACAATAATATCAATTGGAATTCGAAAATTATTGTGCTATTGCTTAGTATAATTGACGCAAAAACAGTCATTTAGATATAATATTTTCCAACTTTAAGGCGGGAGAGAGCAGTTTTAAACAACTTTCCTGTGAAATGAACCGATTTTGTGTTTTGTTTTTGAATTTCAGTAAATTTAAGCAGAGCTAACTTATTTTATTGCTAACCACACGAACTATTTCAAGAACCACTCACTTCGTGCTGTTGTATGCACGTTGAGTATGTCAAATAAAAATTGAAGATTTTCCATTACTGAGTATAATGAAAAATGTCGAAGAAATTGCATTAAAGAAGGCTGAACAGAAGCTGAACAGATTAGCGTGTTCATACATACAGTGACCTTCATTAAGTAACTAATCTCGCTTCGACAGCAACTAATTTGCAAAGCAATAAATTCACAGTTAAAGCTGCATTAAAGAAAAATAGGCTCCTATGAGCTATAGAAATCTAAAAAATCAATTAATCTATATATATTTTTTTTTTTTTGTGATTTAGAGCTGTCCTAATTTTACAACCATAATAAATTAGAAATACTGTTGGGAAAATAATTGCCTCGTAAAAACTTTGTATATCGCCAAAGTAATCATAATATGCATATATCTGTCACATGTATGCATGTGTGTAACTGCTCATTTAATGCATTTTCTATACCTAAACTCATTTCTATAATTTGCACTAATATAACAATTTCCCTAAAAACCGGTTCGATATCTTACCTGTTGGTCGAGGCACACACGAAAATGCATATGCATATACATATATGTAAATATGTGTGTGCACAGACCGAGATGGTCGTGCAGATAAAATTCGGATAGTATTCCTGCTAAGATAATGAAATATTCATGTCAAGCAGTTTCTAAGAATGTAAATAAAAAGTTTGTATACACTCATCGGTGCTCAGCTTAACTTTGATGCGGGTCGTATGCATATATATGTATGTATGTACATACATTTAATTTTTCATTACACCCCTGTTATCTGCAGATCACTCACTCATTCAAGAATGCCTTCTGAAATTACGCTGCATTTTTATGCGTCGTGTGAGTATATGGTATGTATGTATGACAAACATTTATGTCCAAACACGGTTAATGAATAAGCCATAAATAGGAAATAATAAAACAAACAATTGACCGTAGAACCACTGCGGGGAGCCTAGCCTGTGTTCTAAAGCGCAGAAAAGGTCGCTGGTTGAAGACAACCTCGAGCCACTCCTTAAACCACTTTCTTATTTACTTATTCTTGGCTTTCTTCTACTTATCAAAATTCATAAAAACAATAACAACAGTGTTCACTTTTCTTGTGTTTTTGGTTTTTTGGATGTATCAATTTGTATGTACATATTCGTTATATTCATGTTTACCTGAGTATGTAAACACATATATTTATACATACGTGTACATACATAGAAGAATATACCATTATTTTGTGTATGTATTAACATATGTAAACATTGCAGCAAAGTCAACACACTTTTTACCGCCACATACACACATCTACATGTATGATGCATTGACTCTTGTGCAATAATGAGCCTAAAAAATATGTTATCTTCATCAACTTTTACATACATATGTACATGTGTACACGGGTGTTGGTAATCCCTTTGTGAACTGAGAAATACTTATTCATTTTCATATTGAGGACATCCATAGTGTCTTGGTGCACCTCGTTGCGCACAAATAATTTAACTGGTTGAAATATTTCCAAAGAGTTTTTTTTTTTTGTTGCATTTAGCGATTGCTTGATTTCCATTAGCAAATTTATGAAAGCCTACACAAAATCTTAGCATTAAAAGGTGAAAAGCG